TTCCGGGCAAGGGACGGACGGGATAAGGGTACAAAGTAGACTTTTTTTCTAAGGAACACGACGGAAACCTTCCCTCACCAAGCAAGCAAGTAAAGTAAATGAAAGTTGTGAAGGTCAGGATCGGCAGTGATGATCCGCCGGGCGGGATCGATCGCCCATGTGATACATCACGGGGCGGTGTGCTCAATGACTAGTTGACAAGTCGGGGTCTGGATGGAGATACATAGCAGAGGGAGAAAAAAAAAGGGTAGCTGAGGAGTGGATTGGATGGACGGGCGATCGGCACTGCCATCCCGGTTCTGGCCCAGCGGAGTTGAGACGGCGATGTGTCGGACTTGCACAATCACAGTCGTCGCCCAATGTCTTCTTCATTTGAGGCGAGAGGCCTAACCTTGACTGACTAGTCGCCGGTTCCAAGAAAGTGGAGACCAGGTACGGACTAAACAACCATCTATCTATCGGCTATTGGCGGCCATGTGGGCTGGTCTTTAATCTACGGTGAAGATCAAATCTCATCGGGAAGGTGTTGTTGATGATGAGCATATCTCTCTATCTACTTTATCTATTGGTATTATTATGGAGTATTACGGGGGGTTGGTTGGTCTTTCTTGTAATTTGATATTCATTCATCATGGGGTTTCATCTAATATTTGCCTCCGAAGAGGACAAGCAAGAACCTAATGTTCTCGACCGTCTATCCCAGCGGCCTAACTGTGGGGATCATATCGATCCAAGAAAGGAAAAATCAAAGAGTAGAGAATCACTGCCCAAGCGCTCGGGCATGCAAAAAAAAGTAGATGGATGCGATCTCGAACAATGCAAAACAGTAGTCTCCAAAACAGAATGCCCAACCAAAGAATTCCTTTTATCTTGTCGCAGAATAAAACGCCGGACCCGCTATGATAGTGGCGACTCGCCCGAAACAAAATCAACCTTTCCAGAACAATTCATCAATAATTGGGGGGTATCACGTATGGTACATTGACGTGGTCGTCAATTGGCAGGGCACAATCAGTACGCCTCGATAATCGTGCTGCGTGCCTGGCCAGGGACGTAATACCCATTGTCGAGATCCGTAGGAGAGAGGGGGATCTCTGTGGTTTGAGGTTCCTTCTCGTTGAATGTTTCAAGCGTCGGTTGGGGAGGCGACGGTGGCATGGTGTCGTCTTCTGATTCCCCATCCGAGTCCGACAGCAAGTCGGGAGGGGTTTGTCGGGAGGGTGAGCGGGTCAAGGTCAATTCCTCCAAATCTTCCGCGTCATCGTATTCAAAGTCCGAGTCCGAGTCGGAATCGTAATCCTCCTCCACTTCCTTTTCCGTGATGATGGCGACAGGTGACGGGGCCCGCCGACGCACGGGGGTATAGATGTGAGATTCATCTTCATATTCGTCTTCATCATAGTCAGAGTCGGAGTCGCTGACATCGGAGTCGGCGTCGGAAAGGTCTTCGGGATCCCAGTCTTCCTCGGGGTCTTCGACCACGGTTTCTGCCCATTGGATGTGTCGGGATTCTGAACCTTGTGAAGAGGTCTTGGTCACTCCGCTGACGGTTTGGTTGAACCAACGTTCTTGTTCTCTTTCGGCATCGGCCAATTCCAGCATGAGGGAATCCAGAAGGTTGGCATGGCCAACGAGGAGGCGGAGGTCATGGTCTGCCCGCGAAGCTTCCCGGGTGAGCTTCTTGCGGGCGGTGTGGGCGAGGTAGTATGTTTGAGTGATACTCATTTTCTTTTGTTGGCGTCTCCGCACGAGAGAGGCGAAGTAGGAACTGGGAGTGATGGTGGAAGCGGAGGTCGAAAGGGGGGAGGGAGAGGTAGAAGAAGTAGAAGTAGAAGTAGAAGAAGAGCGAGAGGCCATGGTGCCAAAAAGTCCGGGAGGACCGTGTTGATGTGCTTATGAGCTCAATGCCAAAAGGTGACTCGTTCGCTCTGCGCGGTGACTCAGGCAGCCTTCCCTTTTCCGGCGGCCGCTCAGGCTGGGGGCCAATCAGCGGGTGGAGAGATCGCGGGGCGGTGAGTCAAGGTTGACTGCAGGCGGATCAATAAATCACGACGCCTTATCTTGGGGCGCGACTACGCTTTGATCCGCTTTTTTTCGTTTCCGGCGTCAAAAATGGGAAATGGGAAAATAGATAGTTTCTCTGCACTATGTCGGCGCAAAAAATGGATGGGCGCGACCAGACCAGCGATGCGTCGTCCGTTCCTGGCTCCTTCAGTCGTCTCCACTGGTTGTCTGTTCAACAACAGGCAGGATGAGGCAGCAGTAGTGGCGGGGAAAGCGGATGTGTTGGAGGTATGTGGTTTGAGTAAAATGTCCTGTGTGCGTATGTAGGATGGTGCACAGCAGTACTAGAGTCGGTCTGAGGTGGTCACCCTAAAGTGATGGGTGTGTATGTAGTATGTATGTGGAGGAAGGAAATAGGTACAGTGTATGTACTTGAGTAAACCCTGTGTAGGGAAAGAAAAAAGTGATCAACCGGGAGACAGGGACCAATTTAATATGATATATCCACTTTCTAGGCTGATAATTTTTTCCTGCTGATTTCTTTTTTCTTTACTCAGTGTTTTCTCCGTTTTTCTAATCCTATCTCCATTATTAACCTTAGCTTATTTATTTTACCTTTTTTTTTCTCACGCACCGGGGTTTAGAAGGGATATGGAATCGGACCTTCGGAGGCAGAAACCATCGATGCCCATCCGTGGATCGGAAGGAGGGTGCCGGATCCACCAGGGCCGATTTCCCTCGCTCGAAAAGGCAACTGTTAGTTCACCGCCCCTCGCTAGACCCAATCATCACTCCTAAAAATGAGTCACGGCCAGGCTCCGCCCGCTAACTCCGTGTGGACGATCACCGCTCAGCCCAGCCCAGCAAAGAAAAATAGAATTATTTGGGATGAAAAAAATAAAAAAACCCTGGACGGGGCGTCGGATGACCAATCTTTCCGCGCCGTTATTTCCGGCTGACGGGAGCTTCTAAGCCTAGAAAATTCCAGCAGATGCCCAGTCATCGCTCCGTCTCATGCCAGACTCCCCGATTACTCACTGTGCTTGCTCCCTTTCTCCCATCATCCGTGAAGGTTGCTATTTCCACGGGACCAAAGGGGCCAGCTGGTTCTGAATGAGCCTCCTAGGGTCAATGCGCCAGCTCGTCATACCTACTCACTATGTAGTCTGTAGTAATGACACTTCTGTCCGCTTTGAAATCAGCATCCCCGATTCATAAGCTCGCGGTGCAGAACCAGGAGTCCCCTAACTTGGCCAGCCTCACTACTGCAATAGGTCTAGTCGACAATACCAGTCACATCCCCACCCTCGGGGACAATGACGTTCCTGAGCGAGATGTATACTAAGTGACTAACCGTGGAAGTAGACGCGTATTCCGGTCGCGCAGAATAATAATCAGCAAGCACCATGCACTCTGATTGTGACCCGAGGGATAACAAGAAAGTTTACGGCGTCGAGCGTATTCGTTTGGCAGAAAAGAGCATTGACCCAAGTGCGTGCACTGCACTAGCTAATGCTAATACGTACGTACACTGGGGAAAGGGATTGATTGACCTGTGCACGGAAGCAGTAATCCCGGGCGGTGGTCAATAATTCGCGAGGGCCGAGGCGCGTGTACCTTGGGAGGTTTAACTAGCCAAGCGAATACGACGACGGGCACGGAGTTATGCCTACTTCCTTCCTTTCCTATCTTACCTACTTACATTTGCCTGCTTTTGCTCACTCCCTTGATACTTCCGAATTCGCTGAAATGGATTGGATATCGCGTACTGTATGGAGTACGCGTGCATAATCTCGCTTCCTTTCTGTCTGGCAGCCTTTGCAAAGCCCACGTAAGCCAGCCAGGACTCGGCGATGAAGTTCCCACAGGCTGCCACATTTCACGCCTCTAATTGAGCAGTGCCTACAAGGTACAAGTAATCACTTTGTATCTGCCTGCTAAGCCGACGAGTAGTGTCCGGGGAAGTCTGCCTGCCCATCACAATATGATAGGCGTGTGCGCTTTGTCTGCCTGTGCGGAGAGCCGCACGTCCAAGCCAGGCTTGGCAAGTATCCCTGATCGCGTAGGGAGGATCAAGGGCACCACCGCAAAACTTGGGTAGCTAACTTACCGAGTTGGGCTATTTGTGTTGATTCCATCTGTGAGGGTTGACCGCTAGCGACAAACGTGTCCTGCTCTTGGCGACGCCCTGCTTGCCTGCCCTGCCTCTGCCTCCGCAGTACTTGATGATCACCCCCTGGCTGGCTGAGTACGTATTAGAGATGGCTGAGTTCCGCGAAGTTGTCCAGCTAGTTGGGAAAGTATGGGGGCGGAAATTGTACGTAATCGTGTTGAGGGGGCTGGATTATCATGAAGATAATCAACGTGCTTGTTTTGGTTTGCTATCAGTTAATCTGTCGTCTATCTGAAACCTTACATCTATCTACTAGTATCTACACAGCCTCGATGGGGACTTTGTGGGGAGCAGCAGACTAGTCAGCAACTATCGTGGCTAGTGGGTCATGTGATACTATCAGTTGATGATCTAGTCTGCTAGTCTGTTTCCTTAAAGAGAACACAGCTGAGAACAATAACCAAACAAGAGTAATGAACATGTTTAGAAGAGGCGATCGCAATTCCCTCGTACAGAATGAATGTCTGGATCCATCCAGTTTCAGCAACCAGTCCACGAAAACGCCCAGCGTGTCAAGGAATGTCGCTGTGTTCCCTCAAACCATGTCTGGATCCAGCCGGTGGGGCAAAAAAGGGAGGAGAGAGAAAGAGAGAATCTGACATGGCATCCAGCTCTCCCCCAAAACAGAAATACGAGGGATGGGACCTGACGGAGATCTCCTACCAAGTGCCTGATTCAGCCTGTCTGCAGTTGAACTAATTAACTGCTCGGGGCTTGCTCGTGAAGGTTAATCAGTCAAGCTTACTCAACCTAGGGAATGACAATGAATGTTAACCACATCAACCACCTCTCTGGACTCGTTTTCTTCATACCCGCAACCACTGCCTCGGGGCGACCGGGAGGGCGCTACCGCTGTCATGGCTTCAGGCTGCCAGCGCCCATACTTGGTCCCTACCTGTATAGCAACACCGGAACTTTGTTTACTGCCACACCCTCGCTCCAGCAAAGGACTGTGCAGACGGGGAGTCCAATGACAGGGGTCCACATCATTGCTTGACTCGCTCGTATCAACCTGGCCTTGCAAACAATGATCTTGAAATTCATATTGGCCACACTGACATCTCTATCATCATCATCATCATCATCATCATCATCATCATCATCATCATCATCATCATCACCACCACCATCATCATGATAATACAGACGGTCTGATCCGCCACGACTGTTCATATCATTTTCCTATTCACGCTCAGATACTATCTCCCGATGATGATCAACACACAATAGATTAGAGAGAGCCAGGTCTGGATTGATTCTGATTGACGTCACGACACCAGATCCCTGCAAATCCCAACAAACATTACGAAGCAGAAAGTGTTGACCTCATATCCCGACCACTTCACCTAATTCTCCCCCAGATTTATCATCCATCGCCTAATCATCCCCAAACAACAGCAGCAGTAGCAGTGGTCCTCGTATCCCTACGGGGTTCCCATTTTCGAAACACTATCTTGATTTGAAACTATATTAACCACAACCTTAACTTCTGTCAAAACTGTCAGAAGAATTAATAATCACTCACCAACTTCTCTACTCCCATGGTAATACACACCACTGCAAACCTACTCACCTACCTACCCCCCATAACTGGAATTCTAGTAACTGAAGTATATCGGACATAACCCAACTCCATCCCGTAATTCCTAATCCCTATCTCCCCAGCACAACCAACCCACTTACCCGAAGGGGTGTCAGAAGAACGGGATATCGGCGATTCGCACTCCCAACCTCCGACCGACACGCAGCAACAGCAAAGGATATGCCGGAACCGGCAAACCAAAACCACCAACCCCGTGATCTGACCCATGGTTCAAAACCACCCCAAATATCTCACTAATCAATCAGAAATGAGAAAACCCCATGTGAAGAATGAATCACTCGGATACACGGAATTAAAATAAAAACAAAAAATTTTTTTTCCCTTTCAGCCTTCAGCCTTGTAGTCGGGTCGGGATTTTTTACCTAATTCTTTCCTCTTTTTTTTTTCTGCCGGTTTTATTTTTCACTTTGGGTTTTATATCCCGGGATCCGGGAATTTTTGATTAGTAGAGATGACTTTTTTAACGGAGTTGATCTCTCGGGCCGAGGGTGGGCTTGGACTTTGGTATGGATTTTACTTTGCTGATTGAGTGATTAGCTATCTCGTGATGAGTTGATGATTGAGGCTTTTGATACTGGATGAGTCACTGGGCTTTCTTTCTCTCTTCCTCTCTTCCTTTCTATATCCTTTCTATATCCTTTCTATATCCTTTGGGTTCCGGTTTTTCGCGTGGTGGGCTAGATACCTACTCCGTAGATAGGGGGGGAATAATGTGCGATTATCGTCGATAGTAGTACACACCCTATGGCATCTCATTTGATGTTGTTGGTGGTGTTTCAAGGAACTTACTTTGCGCGTGACAGTCAGATCGGAGTGGGTAGGTAGGTGGGTGGGTAGGTGGTGATGTGATTAAGGGTCTTAAAAGTTACATAAGAAGTGATTACTTGGATGTATGCATGCATAATAAACTGTGAATATTTCAATGTATCATGCTTGAATAAGCAGTGGTAACTAATGCACAGCACATTTAATGCCTCACATGTTATGTTTAATGGCTTTAACAGTGATTCTTGAATTGCCACCTGCGGGGTTGGGGAATAGATCCCCGGTGCTGCCGAGGAACATAGCAATATTAGTAGTGTTAGTAGACTGTTAGTTTCATACTGTGGAGATATTGTTCAGTCCGATCGATAACAATTATGCAGGGAAAAGCTTGTGTTATGACATGCAATGCATTCCTGCAGTTCATTACTTGAACTACAATGGAAGTGGATATATGCCAGGCAAGGCAGTTATGCTCATACATGCTGAATACCTTGATTGACATCAATCATGCGTAAACAAGTTCCCCAGGTCGGAGCTCTTCTTCCTGATCCACCGTTTCCACCACCACTCTGGCCTCCGTCCCTGCTCGTCGGGCTCCACCAAATCACATGGCAGAAGTATCGCATGATCGAGCGCATGTGGTAGACCACGATGGCGGCCACGCACCTGCATCGCAATGACAATCACTTTGGACACACCATTGAATTCCCGACACAGACTCGTCTCCGTACCAGGGTATCCCATGGATAATCCCACAGTACCGTATGCAGACACAATCTCAAACAGAATCGGGAAGAGCGAGAAGGCAATGTCCGTTCGATTTTCCTGCAGACGTTTCCCCTCGGCGACGGCAACGAAAAAGAATCCTAGCATGACAAACCACAAATCGAATCCCAGTTGACGTTGGATATGAGCGCCTAGGGAGTCGGATTGGTGCGGCTTGTCATGTTCGTCGTACTCTTCGTTGTAGATGCCGAGGCTGCGTTCTTCATAGACGTTGGTTTTGCGCATGGCGATCGCGATGGGGAATGCGGAGATGTACATCATCCCTACGAAGGAAACTTGCACGGCGGGGTGGAGAGTACCTAATGAGGCGATGGTGAAGCCGGCGGTACGGGTAGAGGCGATTTGGAATAGCCCGTTCACGAGGCGGAGGCCGGCTGATATGGGGCTGGGATGAGGGAACTGATGAGGTCATGAGTAAACTGGTTCAGGTGAGGGTTTGTTCTTCGGGGGTCAACTCACCTCTTGGAGGGTGTAGAAAATGATCAAGTCTATAGCATTGATGAGCAGGAGGACTGCGGCTAGTCGCCAGGTCTCGGTGCTAGGAAAGAGCAATGTGAAGCATCGTCGCGGATGATCCAGAAGAAATTGGAGCTCATCGTCGAGGGGACTGCCATACGTAGTGAACTGCGATAGTGTCCATATGATGAAGCGGAGCATGCATGGGAACCCGGTATTCCCCAGCACAATGAGAAAGGTCATCACCAGTAGCGGGAACACTGCAGTATTGAACGACCCCATTGAGTTTGGGGTCAGCGTGAATCCCAGGTCATTGAAGGCTGAGCCAGCGGTGAAAATAGCCCACCAAGGCCGGCTGAGGCCATTGTCTGCAAGGATCTGACCATAGTGCTTATTAGGTAGGATCCATACCAGGAAGAGCAAAGCTCCCAGCAGGTGAATGATCACATAATAGCAAACAAGGATGACAAACAACGTCTTCAAGGCTCGATACTCGATACCTCCAAGCTCCTCTTTTTGCGCTTCATTCCAATCGGAGTAACTGGCAATCGACGACTGCCACATCAACGATGGCAGCGGCGGCATGTCATTCTGGATCTCGGAGAACGATCGCCGCCGCTGTGGACTATCGATCTCAGGAAAGGAGCGACGCGACCAGGTACCAGAGTATGTGCGTCGGCGTTGCTTTACCTCGTGCTCGGCGTCCGTCTCACAAAAGGTGATGTGCGGGCTCATGGAGCTGGTTGCGCCATACTTCCTGCCCCCTGGCGACTCGCTCGGCGAGGCAGTCAAGCTCTCCTCGGTGACTGTTGAAAGTAGCGGCGTGTCCTCCGATGGCCTTTCGCGCGAGAATGATCGAGAAGGCCCATTCTCCACGTCGGCAAGTCTTTGGTTCAGGGTATTCCGCTGTGCGCGGCACATCATCTTTGCCTCATTGATGGCTCTCTTGAAACGTTTCCGGAACCAATACAGACGGATCACCACGAGAAGCGAGTGGACAAAGATGACATTGGTGACCATTGACACCACCAACAGGGTGACCTGTTGAACCACATGAAGGCGATTGAGATCTACCGTGTTGAGGCCGGTCTGTGTTGCTGCGCCGGAGGCGAGAAGCAAGGCATCGACGTAAGATATACCTCCGGCGCAGTAAAGAATAAGCGACGATAATAGAGCCCAGGAGATGATGTAGATGTAGTGGTGACAGCGGCGTAGGGGTGACTTGGGATTGTCGACCACGGACTCGCGTGGGGGCATGCGTGAGATGCCTCAGTCGGTCGGGGTAACTCTTGAGGTAAAACGGCTGAGAAGAAGAATTCACAAATGGTCTGGTCGGCAGAGTCTCGATTGTTGATTGAAATAAATAGTCCGAGATCGGCTCCTTGCGTGTTGAAAGGAGAGTGGCTATTGGAAGCCGACAAATGCCTCAATGAGCTGCATCACAAGAGTGAGTTGGGCTGGCTTGACTGATCAATCAACCGGTGAATGTGTCAGTATCGGTCACTGGGAACACAAAAAAGATATATACGGGTTGATGACCCACCATTTATTGCCAATTAATCGGGAAGAAACATGTTTGGTTGGGGCAGTGCCCATTTCCGAGACAGCAAGAGGAGTTGCACTGCAGATGGCAAAGACCCAAGTTGTGGACGACAATAATCGCTCATACTGAGCTCCTTGATTTGCTCAACTTGACACTCTCTTCCCCTCCAGCCACTGACGCACGGTCCATAGTTTGATCAACTCTAACGCAGTTATTACTACTAGGGCTGGGTTCAACCCTTGCAGGACTCAGGAACAGGATTCTGACCGTTTTGCCGGCATCAGCTTGACAAATAGTCGGCTTCATCATATGTGTTCGATAAAGTGTCCTAGACCGTACCTGGGACGTTCATCATCAATTGACTTACAACTTCTCAAGAGAAGTTCCCGACCGTGAGTTTCGGGCCCAAAACTCTACACAATCCAGTGATGTGCAGCATGGGCATTTCAGATGAAGACGCACGCAGTTAATTAAACGACACTCAGGATAAGTTGGTGGGAGAGCATAACAGCTGGGCCCTTCCTGACCTTGGCAGTCACCGCCAGCAGCCTAGGGCATAGAGAACTGAGTATGTTGTTGGCAGACAATTGCCAGTGCAGCCGGGGCTTATCTGCTGTTCATGCAACACCAAAAGCGACATGGTCGCCATCGCTGGGAGGGCCCCGGCGAGAGGAGAACCCCAGATCAGCCTGCGCAGGAAGGTGAGGCTAATCTCTGCTCGAAGAGGTTCTCTCTTCAAAGGAGAATTTCCGTCGAGAGGGCCTCTAGGGGCCGTTTATAGGCTCTCTCACCGGTCCCAGAACCAGGCTGGCCATCAGATCGCTTTCCATTCATCACCGTGGAGTAGAGTGAGACGAGGACTGCTAGATCCATTGCTACTACGGCAATCGATACCGTCTTTCGGTAAAAAATTGGGTGCTAACTTCTTCATGGGCATCGACCATAAGAAGTGTAAATTGAGGACAATATTGATGCTAAGTCAAAGAATAGGACAGAAAATGAATGACCTTTATGAACTGTGAGAAGTTAACAGCCAAAAGTCAATCTATAACGGAGCTGCGTATGGGAGGAAGTAACATCATTCATGCTGGCGTTGTGCCCGGACACATAATCTGTCTCTTTCTGAAGATAGCAAGGTAGAATCATATCAAGAGCAAGAATGATGGTATCAATCAAGTTTTACTTGCGAAGAAAAGGTGATCTTCTCTCTTTCTTTGTTC